GAGTCTGGAGGTAAGAAGGAGGAAATCTTTCCATTCTTTACACAAGTCAGTAGCTAAGCCAGTGCGGCTCATCAGGCTGGTTATTACATAACTCACGTCTGTGCAGTAATGTATCAACAAACTGATGTTTGGTACATGACTACTCTTATAAAAACTTTAGGTTGCAAGGTAAAGTACACTGTAAAATCTGAATGCTGCATAAATCACATTATATTTAATTGCAACACGTCTCTTATGCAATACGAGTGCAGGCATTAGCAAGCTCAAGGACACCAGGGTATTAATGCCAAAATCTCCATTGTGAAATGTGCCACTAAGCAGAGTGTTGACCTATATGGGCCGGTGACTTCAGCGTGTGTGTGCACTGAAACATTGTAACACTTTCATAGAAGAAAAATGCACATTATTTAATTGTAATGCTCTAGTTGCATAGAAGTAATGGCGATCAGTAAAAGCAGTCCTGGTGTTGTGTTGATGTTCTAACTGTTAAAAGCGGTATCGCCATGACTGAGTCGCTCACACACTGTGCAAAGATTTAAAGTTCACGTAACATCAGTGGTTGGAGAGTTCCCCCGGGCAACTAGTTTGCAGAGAGCATCACAGTTTGCTGGTGATTGCTGCAATAAATTCATCCTGTTGTCTCGCCACACATTGCCTCCTTAATGTGCATGACTGGCATCTCCTTTTTTTTTTTTAACCCAGGATTGCAACATGCCAGTATATTAAGTTGTGATCAGTTCCATAAATGAGCTCAGACATGTCTGAAATAATTGTTACCGCCACCACTAGTTTGCCTTAAAGCAAAGTAGCAAGACATTTTTTTAAAAGTACAATTTTTATTGCAATAAGCTCCACGCTGTCTGAAAAACTGTTAGGAACTGACAGCAAGGTTTGGAAAGGTTTAGGTTTTTCACAGCACTGTGTATGGTGTATTTTAATATTAATGATTTTTTTTTGTGGACTTGAGAACGAAAACTTCCGGTTTAGTATAATTTCTGATTGTGTGTGTGTGTGTGTGTGTGTTAAGGTGGCAGCATCCTCAGTACCCGCTGCTCTGAGACCTATGAAACCAAGACGGCCCTCATGAGTCTGTTTGGCCTGCCACTCTGGTACTTCTCCCAGTCTCCACGTGTTGTCATTCAGGTGAGCCTCGCCATGAGCTGAATAAAGTTGCGTTGCACCAAATATAACCAGTAAATAGATAGAATCTGCTGATCTAAAAGCCAGTCTCTCTCACTCCTCCACTAGCCTGATGTGTATCCTGGAAACTGCTGGGCGTTTAAAGGCTCTCAGGGCTATCTGGTGATCCGGCTGTCCCTGAGGATCCTGCCCACATCCTTTGCTGTGGAGCACATCCCCAAGACCCTCTCCCCAACTGGAAACATCACCAGCGCCCCACGCAACTTCACCGTCTTTGTAAGAAACACACCAACGAAAACCATGTAATGAGACACCTTCTACTCTAAAGCAAACATCCCAGGTGATCACAGGCTGCTTGTTTGTGTTCAGGGTCTAGATGATGAGTACCAAGAAGAGGGAAAGCTGCTGGGACACTACACATACCAGGACGATGGGGAGTCACTGCAGATCTTCCCGGTTATGGTAACTTTAGAGGCACTTCTTAACATGATTAGAAATGTAAAAATAGTAATAATAATCACCTCAATGTTTGTCAGCAGTTCCTGAAATCTTCCACTTTTTTTCCCCTCAGGAGGAGAATGACAAGACGTTCCAGATAATCGAAGTGAGGGTGTTGTCCAACTGGGGTCACCCCGAATACACCTGCCTGTACCGCTTCAGAGTCCACGGAGAACCTAGACCTCACTGAACCAACCACCACCACAACCATACTCACTTATATATGATGCACCACCCCATCTGTACATAGCTCTCACTGACTTAAACCCGTAAAACTGAAGGGACTCTGCAGGAAGTTTGTGGATGTTTTTGTATGAAAAGCAAAGAAGATGTGGATTGTTTAAAGCATTGTGCTCAGACCGAGTCATGAACGTAGTTTTTTGCGTAATTTTGAAAGAATCACAGGAAAGTTTGGATGAAGACTGTTAAAGATTGGGAGAATTTGAACCACAGAAGAAGCTAAGTCCCACTGCTACCCTTTTCAAGGCCTCTTGCACTGAATCAGCCCCCACCCCTGAGGGCACCAAGGCTCGTGGGAGCCAACAAACCCACCAGTCCCTCCTCAACACCTTCGACAAGAAGGTGGATGCTTGACATAAGGAGGGGGGCGGGGTTACAGACTCATCTCCACCAATTCTTCACACACCGTATCTGTCTGATTTTTCTTCTTATCTCTGTTTAACTTTTATTTTTTAATGTTTCACATCAGAGTACTATTTTCAGGATGAAGACCACTGCACCTTTGCCTGAGATGATATCCGGGCATGTCACTTCAATTTGTTGTCATGTCTCCACAGTGACTCCTACAGAACTGTTTTGGGCAGTCTGCAGGTCTGCACTCGACGCGTTATATCCACTACATTCTAATCTTGGCTTCATGCTTCCATATAGCCATAACTAAGACTTTTATTTTGGAACTGAACATGCTGCCTATGGATAAGCGCTGAATGTTTTCTGAAGCGGCGGCTTTGATGCAAGTTTCCTTTAACTACACAGCAACATTATAAAACCACTGACCTGAGCTCTATGTGACTAAAGTATTAGGAGGATACTCACTATACGTCTCATTATGTAGAGACTCGTAGTTTTTACACCATGAAATTACCAATGTTGAACTACTCCTGTCAATAATTTCGCTTTTTCTGTTCTGCTTCTATCAAGAAGAGGTTCACTGTCTCCCTCTAGCTCAGTTAATCGTCCTCCTCACATGAGCTCCCACTATTCTGAAAACCCTGAAGGAATGTAATCTGTATATTTTATTGTTGATAGCTGATCCTTTATAATATCTCCTTTTATCAGTGTTGCTTTATAAAAAACCAACATCCTGTCATTATAATTGTACTACTATTATTTCTTCTGTTACTCGTGGTGTTTTACTTCTTTGATTTGATTTTTGGGGGTGTTCATTTTAGAGGGTGCTCTGCAAGAACTTGTTAGACAAATGTTTGTGGCACGGGTCTTCACAATTTCTTTAAAATTAAGGGTTCTCTCATCAATTTTGGTTCAAAATACGGGAAAGTCTAAATTGTTATGTGTAAAAAGGAAAAAAAAAGACTTTTGTTCACAATCTTATTTATTAACAAGTCAATTAGTGGCTGCAAGGTAAGACTTCCTGCAATGTATATTTTGTTAAAAGCTGTTCAGTGCATTTTGGAACCATCTTAGTTCTTTTGTTTGTTTGTTTGTTTGTTTTGTTTTTTTAAAGATAAATGGCTATTTTTGTTCAGTCATGAGATGACTTAACTGCTTTGGATTATATTCCAATAAAGACTTTAATTTTGAAGAAATAAATACATCATGGCTAAAAATTACTATGATGAGCTCTAACTTTTCCTCGTTTATATTCACAGCGGAAACGGTTAAGTGAATATGTTGTTGTTTGTTTGATCTTTTACATCATCATTTAGCAGGAGCATCTACAAGCAAAAATCTGAGGATCAACAGGCCTGAGTAATTCTGAGTTAACCAAAAATAATATGCATGTGTTTTACCTTAATACTTTTGAGGCATATATAATCACGTACAAAAGTCTTTACTGCTCATCTCTTCATATTTTAAGAGGAAAATTAGAAATGCATGAAATGCAAAAACAGAGTATGAGGCAAAAACAGAGTTTGCACAGTTCTAATGAGCTTGAACGTCAATATTTGGTATGACCACCTGATCTCTCTGAGCCAAGGTTTCTTGTAATTTTGTTTAATCAGTCTTCAGGAATAATTCTCCAGGCTTCTTTAAGGACATTCAAAGCTTTTCTTTGGATGTTGGCTGCCTTTTGTTCTGTTATCTATTGACATGATCCCACACTGCTTCAATAATGTTGGGCTCTGGGGAGGCCAATCCATGACTGATAGTGTTTCATTGTGTGTCTTTGTTTTTTTGGGGGTTTTTTTGTCCATCCAAGTACGCTTGTACTGCATTGGCAGTGTGTTCTGGATCATTGTCATGCTGAAAAATGAAGCTGCTGCCAAGTTTTTTCCAGATGGTATTGCATTGTAGATCAAAATCGGATTGTACTTTTCTGCATTCATAATTCCATCAGTTTTGACAAGATCTTCAACATCATTGGCTGAAACTGACCCCAAATACTATCTGTATTTTACAGATAGAAAGTTTTGGCCAGTTGCTCTTTGGGAGTCACCTTGCTGGTGCAAAAATGCTAAGCTGTGTTATCTTTGGCATTTTTTTTAGAATCAACTGTAGGCACAGCTCTGGTTCATCCCTGGAGTTAGGGTTGTGAATGAATCATAGGTCTGTGTTTAGTGAAAAAGCAGCCAGTGTCTAAAGAAAAGCTTTGAAAGACTTTCTGATAACCTGTACAAGAAAGTCTGTCTCCTTGGAAGCAAGATTTATAGAAATGAGTGGTCTCTCAAAACTTGCATAGTACTTTATTATTCAAAAACAGTCTTCTTCTTTTTTTTACGCACGTTGACTCCTTTATTATTGTTAGGAAACAAACTGAAAAACACGGCATACTCTTTAGTGACTGCCATTATTCAGTGTGTCTTTGCTGAACTATTTCTTTCTGAGTCTCGCAGTATTGTTAGGTAAATACGCCTTTATAGGATTATTTCTCCTTAACTCCTATCATTAATCTAAGAGTTATATGATCGATACATGTATGTAGTTATCTGCTGCCCTCCAGTGGTTACATGGAAACTAGAAGTCATTTTCCTAATTTTGCAACAGCTGAAAGTTTAAAACAAAGATATGAGAACCACAAAAGCAGCAGTAGCATTTTAGGGCCAACCCCCCTCCCCGACTCGGTTTATTTTCTATGCATTGCATCGTTTCAGTATATTTTCATCGATTACTGAAGCGCTGTGTCGGACTTGTTTACACCGGAAGTCACGTGAGCACACCTACCGGTGACTCCATGGCAACCGCTTGAGTTAACATAGATAATGGCAGAGATCATCTGTACTAAGAAATAATTTTTGCAGAAAATGTGTGAAGGTACGGCCTGATCTGTTTGTCCCTGTGGTGAAACAGAAAAACAAAGGTTCACGTGTTCACTGTGTCTTTGTAGAGTTTGAGGCCGAACAGCACAGCGGTCCCAGCCCTGCGTGGACAGAGGCCAGCTCTGTGAGCACCCAGCTCTCCCGGCACAGCGTAAGTACACACAGACGACGTGATGTGTGCAAATACAAATCTGTGGGATTTAATCTGGATCCTGTGTCAGCCTCGTTTGAGATAACTGGGCCAGCTGGGTATTCAAATGCATTCTCCGTCATGCGCAAAACCCTAACACATACATGTAATGTGTAAATTACAGCTGCCCTGAGACAAAATGTGAACCTAACTGATGGGGATTTATAAATATTGCTTGAAGTGCAAAATAGCTCCTCCATTTTTATATGGTTTATAACAGAAAACTATAAAATAAATTATTTTTTAAACTATTTTTGAAGTCTAAATTGTTCATGAAAGTTGAATGATTTCTTTGGTTAGGTACTTATGGATGAGCCCGATGTTTGCTGTGCTCTCCCTGGATACTCTGCATTAGAAGGACCTCATCCTTCACGGCAGAATCGCCCCCCAACTGCTGAAACTACACCTTTTCCCCAAGTCCCTGAAAGTAAGATACATAGCTGCTCTCCCTGTAATGTGAAACTGTAAGTATTAATACATATTTGCCATCATTATAATTCTGTCTTTAAAATGTTGTGCTTGTGTCAGATCCTGTCACGCGTTTCTTGGAGAAGAAAGTGTTTCCAGTGTTGGTACCTGGACTGGAGGCTTTGCTAAGAGAAGCCCAGAAAAATGGCTGCTTTAAGGTCTAAGTGTCTTTAATAAAAATCAATTGTAATCCTACAATTGGACCTCTGAGAAATCAGAAATTAATCAAGGATAAAAATCAACCACTAAAATATTTTTTTTTCTGTTCAGGAAGTAAATAACCATAATTTGACATCTTAATCAAAAGCTAATAATTAATTTTATTGGTTTTTTTCTGCTTTTCTTTAGGAAAATGGTAAATTTGAAAGTTCACAGATAACAACAATAATATTTTAATATTTAAGAGTAATTAGTTTAGTGCATCTGTGCCATGAACCTGACATTGGGCGGTAGTCTGATCAATTTAAATGCTGTACAGGAATAATTAGCCAGTAGAGGGATCTAAAAAACAATTCAGTGCTTACAGACACCAAAATGGGAGCTTTGTTGTTTTAACGCTTGTACATTTTGCTGCTTTATAGTCAAGGGAGATGCTGAATGTAGGGCAGTCTCTTTTTTATTTCAGAGGAAAATAACAGCGTTTAACCCATGTGACTTTCTGACTGAGTGGCTCTACAAGTAAGAGTCCTCCTACACACACCTCACTCTGCACTCTGTAGTACTACCCTCACCTCACCACATAGATTCTCTCTGATGTCACATTGAAAGTGCTGTGTATGTGAAACACTGCACGTTTCACGTTTTTCATCCTTCCTCAGCCATAACCCTCGCAGGAGTGGACAGGAACCAGTGAGCTTTCATGACATCCCCTTTGTCAAGGACTGGCTTGGGATGCAGTGAGTATCTCTTCAGTTTGCACACCATGGTTATTATAGCTAACAAAGACGAAACTAAAACTGGGTGTGAAAAAACATTTTAGTAAACGAGAATAAAATAAAAATGCTAGGAGTTGCAAAACTGACTAAAATAGAATAAACATTTCAAGGGAATATTCTTAGCTTTAGTATTTGTAAAATAACGTGAAATTTTCATAACATGTACTGAAGTTATTGTACAAAAACATACAGTGTACAGTTTTTAATCCAGTGTCTGTAGCAGAGGTGTCCAACATAAGGCCCGAGGGCCAGAATCAGCCCTCCAAAGACTTCAATCTGGCCCAATGGGCAATTCTAGAAAATGTGAAGGTGAGCATAAATTTAGGACTTTTAATTCTATCTTCCAACGTTTTGCAGCATGATAAAGAGCTCCCCCATGGCCAATCTTACAACACCACGTTTCACTGGTTTGGCCCACTTTAAAATCAAAGTGGGATGTAATGGGCCCACGATGTAAAATATGTTTGACATCTATGGTTTATAGCACAAAGCAACTATAAGCTATGACACACACACACACAAACTCCATGTACGCTCTCCTTTCTTGTCTCATCACTCTTTCTTTTCCATTTCCTTCCATCCTCCAGTCCCAGGCCGCCCACTCCTCTGTTTCTGCGGCTCACTGAGTGCGAGGCTGCTCTGCTCATCCAGGCTTTCTGGAGAGGATACAAGGTATGTTGGACATGACTGGAAGCTGAGTGCTTTTTACAGGCTTTCTGTCCCAACATTTATAAAAAGGGCTGGGGTTTGCAGAATGACAGGTCTGAAAAGCACCAAAAAGTGTGAAAAAATAAACAGGAAACCTAAACTTTAAGAACTGAGGGACGTTTTATGGAATGAAGAGGTTGCATTGCATAGTCTTGGATGCATTTTACATTTCACTGACACACAACTTTAGCTTTGCCTCCTTGACCAACTTCACAAACTCATCAAAGAATTCACAGTGTGGACATAAGATAACATTTTGAAGAAGAAAGTGTGTAGGAGTCCGGCAATCATCCCACAAGAGCACAGCGACCCTGTGTGTGTGCGTGTCTGTTAGGCTACAATAGGCTCCCGCTAAGCGTGCATCGGCCAACAGTCTTGTTGTTGTCAGTCTTGTTGTATAATCCCATCCCCTTAAAGAGCCCCCTCTTCCACAGGGGCTGCAGTTTCATTCAGCAGCTTGATTATGTCATCAGTGATGCCAGGCTTTAAATCCCTCCTGTGTGGGTGTTGTGGTCTGAAGCACTCTGTGCTGTGATATAAATAGATATGCACAGACACTTCCAGAGGCAAACAGCAGCGTCTCTCTCTGTCACTCTTTCTCCCTCACACACACACACGCACGCACACACACACAGATAAACGCCAGCTCCTGTGGTGTAAGGATAAGCAAGGGTCATGTTTTGTTTGTCTTGACAGAACCTCTTCTTTTGTGCGTTTCTTATCCGAAGTGCTTGTGGGAGGATTCAGCCTTAGTGTGGCTGCACAAACCACTGAGAGGAAAAGATGCCAGCTGCACCGACGTGGACAATTGCATTACATTTGAATGATTTGAAAATGTTCTTGCACATGTGGGCCTGAAGATAAAAGTGTGGATGCGGGCATAAAAAATGATGGATCGAATGTGTGTCGTGAACTGCTGGGGCACCAGCAGAGGGCAGCACTCCCTCTTATTTGCCTTTTTTATTTTCTCCATGAACAACAAAATATAATTGATCTCTGCCCACATGTGGTGGCAGCAGTGAGCCAGCTGTCTGTCACTCCTTGCTGTATGTTTACCCTGAAATAAGAGGTTCAGCAGGGCCACTGATAGGACTGCAGCTGAACACCCCAAGGGATTCAGGGAAAGAGAGAGAGAGAGTGGGTAGAGACAGAGTGAGGGAATGGGAGGATTATGAGGAAGGATGATGGTTGGTCTATGTTTGGAACACTTTCGCATGGATGGCAAACGGGAGGAAAGAGGCGAGCTGATGTTGCAAAGTGGTGTCAGAGTAGGAAGATGCAGTTCTTCTAGGGGGTGGGAAAAGGGAGAGAGATGCAGCACAATCAGGGTCTGCAGCTGAGCGTTGGCCTCTTGGAAGACGCCTCTAGGATCATGACTTATTTAGGCTACATGGAGCGGAGCAGAATTTTTGTTTGGTCCTGACAGGCACTGTAGTGTGTTTCGACTGCTCTCACCTTGACTTGAGAAAAACGGCAGTTAACAGCGGAGTGGGCAGCAGAGGAGGGACGAGCACGTCAGCACAAACCGAGTGAACTGTAAAGCACCAGTGCCTTGTTAAACTTCTACTGGGATCATTAAACATAACTATTACAGAATTATTCTTACACCAGCGTGCAATCAAGATGTCGTAGCTCACAAATCTAATTTCTAAGTAAAGAATTCCAAGGAATGTTTCACTCAAATCTGCCTCTCTGTCTGATTTTATGTGCTTGAGGATAGTTTATTAGAGCATAATAGGATTGTGGGATTTTCCTGTAATATATAGTCAGTATAAGATCAGTGCACTCTGTTCACTTCACCCCCATCTGCCTCCACACGCACCCCATTCCCCCCCTCACACTTACACCCTCGGCTGTTATATAACCAGCTTGACGCAGCGCTGACTGCAGAGGGTGTGTGTGTGTGTGCGTGTGTGCGTGAGTGTTCTGGTAAGAAAGACAGACAGACTGAAGACTAGGAAGGGGCATGAGAGTATTTTTGTAGAGTGGAATTTTATCCCTCTATTATTAATCTCTTTCATCAAAACGCTGAGGGCTGAAGCAGAGCAGTGCTGGAGCGCACACAGACGCACACACAAACACACATAGACACAGATGCAAACTCATGACCCAGACAGTGCGTTTGTCTTTTGTTTCACTCACGTATAACTGTTAAGAGCTCCTAGGTCTAAACATATTATATAATCTTCTTTACACCGTGTACCTTAACCTAACTATAATCCATTCATCCATGCCTGCTACTCTAATGCACACTGATGTGCAAGCATGGACACATACACAGTCTCCTCTGATCACTAAGACTTCTCAGGATTATTCAGCTGAGCTAGAGTAGTGTGGCTGTAGTGTAATAAATTCCCATTGCAATTAGACTGTCAATATTAGTGGGTTGTGGTCTGGTAGCTTTGCCCTTTATCATCATCACTGCCATTTCCACTGGCTCCAGTTGCAGATTTATTTATGTGGCTGGCCTTATCTCAGCTGCAGCGCACCTTTTATCTGACTGGAAAAAAAAAAATCAAACCTAAGTCAGTTTTTTGGGGGGAGGGGGAGGGTCCTTTTTCTGTAGTGAAAACTTGAAACAAATACCATCAGTTGATTTCCACTGGAGAGTTTGGTAGATGAAAAGTCTGATACAACCACACACAGTATAAAACAAGGATGTAGCCACCGTGACATCACCTGTCCTATTTTGAAACTTCGAAGTGTTTTCATTGTCATGATTTTGTTGTTTTGAAACCAGATGTGATAAGCATTGGCCAGAGCTGACCGTGAAATTCGGCATTCATTGGCTAACTAATTGCCAGCCCTATCCTGTTACCCAATGTGCACCTCCTGGATAAATCTGGTTTTGTGACACTTAGAATGGCTAAAATGTAAAAAGTAAACTTGATGTTTTCTAGTGAAGGGTGATGTAAGGCAGTTAGTTAGCTAGCTGCAACCAGCCAGAATACTTCTAGCTTTGTCCAGTCCAAGACAGCGTTGGTGTCATTATGCAGTGTATACACTGTACCACGTATATGACATATAGTAGGCTTTATACAACTTTGCAACCAAACAGTGAAAAACGTTCTTTCTTGTGCATGTTTCAACGATGTTTGATGATGTCATCTTAAAAACTTTTTTAAAAGGCTCATACATCTTTTTTCTCACTGATACTCCCTTTTTTTTACATTCCTCATGCATTAATTTTTGTCTGCTTCCAGAATGTGTCGTTTTTCCTACTCTACTTTTCCTCTCCTATCTGTCACCTCTATCCCCAGCCGGCAGCTGGTCGTGGTCGATGGCTGCCACTTCCTGAGCCTGGTTCTGCCTGAGGTCTCTGCTTGTGAAAATGGAGTGCTACTTTTCAAAAGTGTTTTCTCTCTATTTCTCTCTTGGGTCTTGACATTTTTATACAAAGTGCTTTGAGGTGACTGTTGTTGTAAATTGGCACCACATAAGTAGAATTAATTCAACAGAATAGCAAAAATCTTGGGTTTCATTGGCCTTCTTTCTCATAGGCCTTTTAATAGACCTTTCCTTCCTTCTTGTACTGCAGCTTCAGATATTAAGAAATGGGGCACTTGCTGAGTTGTATTCCTCCTGACATAAACGAATAGAGCTGGTTGAAAGAAACACACACATATATGTACACACACACACACACACACACACACACACACACACACACACACACACACACACACACACACACACACACACACACACACTTGCCCCTCCCCAGAGTACTGCATAGTCAACAGTAGAAGTAGGTCTATGATTCCAGTTCAATGGTCCAAGGGCAGCAATAGATGAATGGTTTTAAATGTGGTTCGCTGTTAAGTCAATTTGATGTACCACGTGCAGTGACACTCATGCAGAAGATATGTCTCAGGCTTGGTCCTTGCTTACCCTCCTGTAAATGGGCTGATGTCTCATATTTTCACTTGTGCATTTATCTGTGCCTACATTTGTCTTAGTTCTTATTTAAATGTAAGTATTTTTTACCTTTAGGACAGTAGGGTGGCAGTGACTCAGTCTACAGGGGCATGAATACAGGCCACAGGTCACTGGGCTGGTTAAGCCTTGAAGGAAGCTGTGGTGAACACAAAGATGATGGATGGGTGGAGTGTGAAGGGAAAATAAAGCAGACTGTGGCTGTGTCTTTATGCACTTGGTCGTGCAGCCACTTCCCCGGGTGAGGAGCTCAGTCTCACAGTCAGCTTTACACTGGAAAGGAATGCAGCTTGAAAGGCTGAGTTACGAGACTGCAACGTGTGCGTGCACACCATAATGTTGTATGCAATTGTGGATAATGTGGTGTGTGATAACAGTGGCCCTTGCAGTGTCTCGGTAATTTTTCTAATCACTCTAATCCCAGCCTTCATGCAAACATACAGCATGAGAGGACTGAGTCACATGCACACAAAACTAGGCTCTGCCACGTGAGCAGTGCATCAGCACGTATGATTATATCAAGAAGATAATGCGTTAGCGAAGTTTCACTAAGAATTCAAATGAGTATAAATAACTGTGAAAAACGATGAAGTTGAGATGCATATATTCTAACACGCAGTACAAGTAAAACGTCAACATTCTTAACCAGGCTTCGTGCCCAGGGTCAAAATAACTTAGCCCTGCAAATCAGCTGTGCTGATGCACACAGACAGGCTTCAGAAAACTCAGGCGCACACACACACACACACACACATACAACTCAGCCCTTTGTCTCCTGCTGTCATACACAAGCTGTCAGCATCCTGCAGAAAGCTAGTGTATTCATAAAGTCAGCTTTCCAAGAACTGACTTTGATTTTTGCTCCATTTCCATCATTTCGGAGAAGCTGACAGCATCAGAAGCAGAAAGGGAGAATACAAGATTTATGGAGGACATCAGTGAAGAGTGACAGAGAAGAAATGGCACACAGACACAAATAAAGCACACAAGCGATGGTGAGCAAACACAACAGACTTAACCACCCCTCCTCCCTCTGACCCTCACCCCTCATTTCCATTTCTATGGTTTGCTCCCATCAGCAGAGAGGCTGCTGCAGCACTGTGACACCCCGTGAATGAACTATTGGAGCGCTCTAGTTTTACCCATTCCTAAACCTATCACCAGGCTTATATAACAGACCCACTTTTGTACAATAGCAACACTTTTGTTGCCACATAACCAGGCACTTAGGAGAAAGTTGGGGTTGAATGGAGCAGAGTGAAAGGAGACTGGTGAGAAGAGAGGTGGGAGAGAATTCAGAGTGAAGAGAGGTGGATGGAGAGGGAAGAAATACTGATGTGTTGGGGAATCAAGGGAGAGTAATGTGTTAGTATGAAAGACAGTATCTGAGGAGAGATCTACCACCCAGGGAAGAAAGAAGCCTGTCAGAGATAGTTGAGTACAAAGAGCATAGAGGAAAGAAAAAGGAGGAGTAGGAGGACTAGTTAGTGGGAGAAGAATAGAAGGAGGAGGGATAAATATGAACAGGAGGTGAAGCCCTTTACAGATATTTTATTCACATTTGCAACATCAAACTTGCTCGGTAATCTTTCAGGAAGTCCTGCAGCCCACATACACACACACACACACAAAACCAAACACAACAGCTGCAGTAGTTTCATCCAAGAACAGAAGCATAATTCATACAGCCTGGATTAGGCTGAATCAGGGTTCCTGTGAATCCTTAGAAGCTCTTCATTAATCTCATAGTAAGGCCTAACATTTTAAAATGCATTAAAATTAATTAATTAATTAAATTTAAAATAGGAAATAGGATTTTATCACTTGCTTGGCTTATTGTTTTCATTTATTTTTGCAGCATGGTGTAGGCAAGATGTGTAAGTTGCAGTATGTGTTTCAACCACAGTGCAATCAGTATTACTGGACCACATATTTGCATGGAGATCTGACCAAATGGCTTACATAAGCAGGTTTTGGCACAATTGATGGAGCCATGAATTCTGCTCTGTACCAGAAAATCCTGAAGTAGAATGTCCGGAGTGGCCTAGTCAACGTCCAGAGTTGAATCTGATTGAGATGCTTTGGCATGACTTTAAACAGGCCGTTCATAAAAACCCTCCAATTTGGCTGAATTAAAACAATTCCGTAAAGAAAAGTGGGCCAAAATTCCTCCACAGTGAAAAAGACTCTTTGCCAGTTATCGCAAAAGTGTGACTGTAGTTCTTGCTGCCAAGTGTGGCACAACTAGTTTAAGGAGTGACTTTTTCACAAAAATTCAGGTAGGTTTGGATATTTTTTTCCAATAATAAATGAAATAATCATTTAAAAAGAACATTTATTTACTTAACCCTCCCTGGAAATGTTCTTAATGTTAGTAACTAAAGCATATACTGTAACAGACTTTCTAAATAACCTTCTTTAAACAGTCCTAACAGCTTACTAACACTGATTAGCTTGTGGCTCAATTAAGTTATTGATGATGTTTGCTCATGTGAATTTATGCATGTGCGCCCTTTGCACGTGTCCTGTGATTGTTATAGATCAGGGCACAGCCAGATGTTCAGGAGATGCGCCAGTGGCAGAAAAAACTGAGAGAGACCCGTGACATTGGCAAAACTGTCAAGCAGTTCTGGGCGAAACAAGAGAGACGAGGTAAGCCCACATACGCTTACACACACACTCACATGATATCACTGAATGCCAGCCCTCAGGCTTGCTAGTAGCATTATATCTACTACTATCAAATTCTCTTCAGTGCCTGACAAAAGCTGCTGATATTCATACAAAGGTACTAGACTGCATAGAAATCAGTCCATACAATATTCAGATTTACAAAAATAAATACGCATACAGTGCGGTGTGTCAGCCTGTGCACAAATAGAGTTTCACACATATAAACGGCTGCAGAGATATTCACGCCAACAGGGCTTTGATTTTTAAAGCTGAAAGACGAGGATTCTGGGAGCGGTGACACACAGAGAGAATGAGGGCAGTGACGGAGAAAGAGAAGCAGACATGGGGAGAAAGTAAGTAATTGAGAGAGAAGATTGCAAATGAAAAAGAGAAAGAAAATGTCTTGAGGGCTCAGGCTACGCTTGTGTGACAGCGACGGCAGATGATGGGGGGGGATTCATGTGTGGAAAGAGCGGAGTAACAGAGTGTAGAGGGGAAGGGGATGAAGTCTGAGACGAGGGTAAATTGATGTGTACGTCTTTGCCTGTGGCGAGTGTGTGTGTCTATGTGTGCACTGTGCACATATGAAGGACAGGGAAGAGCAGCTGAGAATGCAGACCCATGTCCACTGTGACTGACAAGCATTAGAGTTAAAGGATGATGACTACACGTTGTCTTTGGAAGCTTGCATAAGAACAGAGTGGTACACTGTACATGCACTTTCTTAAATCCAAGTAGGCTTGCAGGGAAAAAAACACGACTGTTGCAAAGTTCAGCAAAAGAAATTTATTTGTACTAATAAAGAATAGAGAAAAAAAAAACAAGCACACAAACAGGATTTTCTGTGGGGGCTTCATAAGAAGCCAAAGAACTTTGGAGAACCTCCAACTTTTTTCTTCTAACATCACCATACCCTTGATACCTTTGGCTAGTATAATGAAATTCTTATCATCTTTGTGCTTTGTACAAATTAGCATACTGAGCTGAATTCACTGATATAGTCACCAATGAGGATGCCACAATACCAATACAGATACCTAATTTGATACCAAAACAAACTGAGTATACAGTGGACTCAAACAACAACTCCTTTATCAAAAAGTCATTTTAAATAGATGATATGGTCGAGTGTTTATTTCAAATTTTAATGCTGTATTTTTTTTGACAGGACATAGACTGAAATGTCAGGATGGTTGCAGAGTAACCTACTAACATTCCTATGAGGTATAACATGTACCATTTTAAGTAAATCTTAGCTCATTTTGAATTTCATGACAGCAACACATCTTAAAAAATTGGCGATGTTGGGGAAAAAAGACTGGAAAAGGAAGCTGTGCTAAACAAAAACAGCTGGAGGAATATTTTGCAACTAATTAGGTTAATTGACAGCAAGTCAGTAACAGGAGTGGGTCTAAAAAGAACATATTAGAGAGGCAGAGGTTCTCAGAAGTAAAGTTGGGCAGAGGTTTCCCAAAAACTGTTTCTACAAATTGTGGACCAATTTTAGAATAATGTTCCTAAATGTAAAATTGGAAAGACTTCAATCAAGAGAAATCTCCGTGTACAAGGGACAAGGCTGAAAACCAGCATTGGATGCCTGTGATCTTCAGGTCACCCAGGCATTAAAAACAGGCATGATTCTTTGATGGACATGAAAGAAACATTAAAGCTCCATCATCAAAAAAAGGAAGCCACATATGAACATGACCCAACAATGCTGCTGTCATCTTTGGACCAAAGCTCATTTAAAATGGACTGAGAAAAAATGGAAAACTGCTCTGTGGTCAGACAAACTGAAATTGGACATTTATTTTGGAACATGGCGCATCCCGTGAACTAAAGATGAGAGGGACCACCCGGCTTAAGACCAGTGCTAAGTTCAAAAACCTGCATCTCTGATGGCATGGGGGTCCCATCAGTGTGTATGGAATTGACAGCTGGCACATTTGGAAAGGCACCATCAATACTAAACGGTATATACAGGTTTTAGAGCAACACATTCTCCCATTGCATATTTCAGCAAAACAATGCCAAACCACATACTGCCTCTATAACAGCACTGTGCCAGCACTGTAGTAGAAGAAACACGGCCTGCCTGCAGTGCAGACCCAGACCTTTCTTACAAACAACTGGGGGCAGACCACTAAATGCACCATCATCCATGTGTAGCTTTTGCTGTCCTCGCTTCATCTTCTTCAGAATGTGAGCATAGCTAAAAACACCTTTAGGTGCATCCTGCCCCTGCTGATTCCAGAAGTTACTAAAAATGCAAATCAAGTCACATTTTTTTGAATATGCATCAAACAGCAGAGCAGCAATGGTGGCACAATGATCAGAATTCTAGCCTCACAGCAAAAAGGTTCTTGGTTTGAATCTGCAATCTGGTTGGGGTGTTGCATGCAGAGTTGCATGTTCTGCCTGTGTCTTTGTGGGTTATCTCTGGGTACTCTAGCTTATTCCCACACTCAAAGACATACACACTTAGTGCAGTTAGGTTAATTGGCACTTCCAGATTGAATGTGTGCGAATAGTTGTCTGTCTTTGTGCAGCTAGCGGGGGTAGATTCTTGGTCTTTTTTTAGGGACATTGTATTTATTTTTCCACGCGCCTACTGGAACGCTGTACCATCATGGTGCATCACAACAAGTTAGCAAGTGGACAGAAAAATCAAAACACATGGCAAAGAACAAAAGATGACTAAAAGAAGCTTCTCTCTACTTTGCATTGTTGCAGCTGTCTACTTTTCCAGCGGGTCCACGTAAATGATTTCAAACATTTCGATAATAAGGATACAGAAGGTGCAACTCCTACATGCACAATAGGACTAATGACACAGAAGGAAAGAAATCCGATTACACCGTGCTTACAGCAGACAGCTCAACAGTAATGTTGTCGTATTGTCTCCCCCTTAGGGAACTGATATATTCAACGAGGCAACACTCATCTTCTACCCACAAATAAATAGGGATGGATGTGTGTCAACATCACACTGTTTGGAGCAATACTGGGAATTGTCTTCTTGAATGAATCCATAAATAATTACAATCTCTACATTTTACTCTGGTGCTCTAATCTGTGTAATTGCCTGATAATTTACTGCACTTTGTGGTGAACTTTTTATAGATGGGAGGATAAAAATAACCGCCAGATGTAAGCTTTGTAAAATAATAATATATGATAATAATATATGAAAATAGTTTTTAAAAAAGAAACCCTCAAGAAGCAATTACATCTATATTTAATCTATTCTGCTCTTCGCATTTAACCCAGATACAGGAGCATTCATACACTGAGGCGTGCTTCAGCCCATCTGACGGGGGTGTGGCGGTGTGTCATGATAAACACACACACCCTCTAATAACGCTAGTCATGGTAGTGTTTCAGTTTTTGTCGCTCAGAAACAAAGAACAGTGGCATCATGAGCACAGGTTGTTTCCACAGACGCATTCCACACAACAAAGGCGCTCTCTGCGGCCGACGAACATTCTTCCACGGGCGTGTGACAGCCATGCCACACTGCCACTGCTAACCGCCGCCGCTGCTGCTACTGCTGACCTGACATTCTAGCTGGGGGCCTGGGGATGGGTGTGCATGCGTAAGAGAGTGCATGAGCGTCTGTCCAGACTGTCGGCCTGCATGGAAACCATTTTCCAACCTTTTCAACTGAGTCTACAATGGATGAAAATAGGAGAGAACAAAAAAGACAGAAAGTGACAGAAGTTGCAGTTTGTTTGCCGGCTTCTTCTGTTTTTGTTTTTTGGATGTTATAGAAGTCGCCTTCCTGCACTGTGACACATAAATGACCCATGTTTGGTGCACTTGCAGAGTTAAAAAGAGAGCGAGAAATAATTTAGGGAAGCTCCCCTTCCAACTGTACGCTCATTCTTTAAGTCCCACAACAGCTGTGCTCATCTCATTTGACCCGAGAAAGCCGGCGTACAATACCTCCTCTGCCGCTTCATAGTCTGAAATCAGAATTAGTCAGAGATGGAGAGAAAAACAATGAGGCAAAGAACATGCACACACTGATATGTCAAAAGGTCACATCGCACTAGACAGGTGCAGCTCTCAGCAGTTCATGAATCACCTCGACTGTCCTTGACTGGTGCTTGTTTACTGTCAGTTTAAGCCCTGTTAAAACAGCTTGTGACATCACGTGGTTGGTGACATTGTTTTGAATAGATCAACATGAAATGAAGTAGCAACAGAAATCTGTTAATTGTTTTGGCCTTCTCCCTTGTTTTGTTTTGTTTGGTTTGGTTTTCTTCACCCGCCATGCCAAACTACAGCTTTTTAAAAGATAAGTCATGGGATCTGAATCAGGGAAATGATTCTCAGATGATAAAACAAAAAAAATACTGAAGGGCTCCATCACTGCATATTTGGATTCTCTATATGTACGGATGCATTTTGAAATCTTAAAAAAAAAAAAAAAGTTATTTTTTTTCCAAAACCGCAATTCCATCACACTTTTTCAATAATTAGCTTGTAAATAAAACAGTTCAATTCAATTCCATTTTATTTATACAGCACCGAATCACAGTGTCACCTCAAAGCACCTCAAAGCACTTTATATTGTAAGGTAGACCCTACAATAATACTACAGAGAAAACCCCAACAATCATACGATCCTCTATGTGCAGGCTCTTTGGTGACAGTGGGAAGGAAAAACTCCCTTTTAACAGGAAGAACCAGGCTCAGGGAGGGGTGGCCATCTGCCATGACCGGTTGGAGTGAGGGGCAAACGATACCGTAATTTGCACTCCATGACAGCCTCTTGGGTAGCACTTGATAATAATGTCATACTATTAGGCATTAGTAAGGTATTAGCGAGTGCTTAATTCATCATTTATATATCATTAGTCCTCCTTAGTTTGACATTTATAAATACAGATGTGTTTATCCATCTGTTACTCTTACACTGTGTACAGCTATCACTGCTAGTAATTATCCTAATTTTAGTCATAATGATATATCTATATTTATAAATGGCATACTGAAGAGTAGTAATGCTATATAAATGATAAATTAAGCAACTACACATACCTTACTAATACGTTAATAATGCTTCATAGCATTATTTGTTATAAAGTGATACCGGCTTTTGTTTTTCATAGATATGCTTACTTTAACAGTGTCAAAGCTGTCACTCTTTACTGACTGATAACAACAATAGCAGCAGCAGAGGCAACCAGAGTAGCGTTGTAGCTGTGAAAGTGAGAAAGTGTCAGCACTTGTCTCAGTCGTGTTCTGTTCATAATTTTTCAAGTTATTCTGCTTAAAAAACTGCACTTGAAAAGAACTCGCTTGATATCATTAAAACCTTTATGCAAGGAACAGATAATTCTGCTAAATTCTTTAAAGGCTAACACATTCAAGATTTTTTAACCTGTTATTTAAATGAGCTAATCTGTCAAATTCCTAAAAGATTGTAAGGATCTTTTTTGCCTGGAAAACATATCCGAACATCTCTTGTTTGTCTCCAGTGGGTTCGGCTATGACAGATCTTCCAGAAAGCCCCCAGCCTGGAAACAATGTGTCCATCCAGGTGGTTTCCCCCACTCCCCAGAGCACCGCGGTCCACACACCCACCACCCATATGAGCCCACAGCCTGGTGAGTGGCTCAGACCCAGCCTGCACGTCAAGGAAGAAGTAGCCTCTACATGTCTGACTAATTTCCTGTCTGTGTCCAACAAACTAATCGCAGGGTCTCCATCGTTACTAGGAACTCACAACCTGAGCTACCCTGGTGGGACTTGGTAACTGGAATCATTAGCCTTGTGTAAAAGCTTTTTTTCTGCTGTTTAAACACTATTAAACTCTGTTAGGCTGATGTCAAATTGACCTAAAGTGATCAGTCAAACAAGCCCTGTTTAAGGAAAAAAAAGAAAAGAATAAAAAAGATGCCTGTAACCAATTTGATATGGCCAGGCCAGGATTTATGGTCTGAGATCCGTGTCTAATTAGTTTATTGCTTTCATTGCCTTTTTGATGGATCACTTCCCTTCACGAGTCTCACCCAGCCAATGAACACCATATAGCACGGTTCACATATTATACTGTCAGGAGTGAAACCTCTTGTAACGGGCGTCATAATTTCTCTCTCCGCACCTCTGGATGACAGCTCAGTGGAAGATAACCATATTTCCTTGATCTGTCCTTTCCTCTTTCCTTAGCAATAGACATCACACCACAAAAGAGGTCATAGCATTTCCACTCAAGCCAGAAATTGAGGCCAGAGTCAAAGGTGACTCGGCACACGGCACACCGCTTTATATCCTGTTTATCAGGAAAGGAAATGACATGTCAGACAGCTGAGAATAAAAGAGAATTGGAAAAACATCACTTAGATCACTGGTTTGTATTTGGCAACTATCTGACAAAAAAACAATAATCTCTAATATTATGCTTAGATTTTTATTACATTAAAGGGTTAAAGTAAATTTGCCCTGTATAACAATACATATGAGAATATGTGCATATATATGTATAGTTATATAATAACACAGCTGAGGAGATTAAAAAATAAAACCCTGTTAATCAGTAAGTCACTTAACATTTCTGCCACAGAAACATGGGATGGCTTGGCTACTCATTACACGCACAACATGAAATAACGCCATAAAAATAGATGTATGAGGTGTATTTAACTTTTGTTTATTCTTACTTAGTAGGAGTATTTTCCTACTGCTGTTTTGGTCTTCTGCCTAATGTGTCGAATAGGCGCACATTTTGCATCATCCCCATTGAGTCTGCCACCTTCAGCTGTTTGTTTTTCTAGCTGTTGGCATTCAAATATTTATCTTGAATCAGCCTCAGAAATCATGAAATTTGATTTGCAAAAATTAAAAGACTGCTGCTCAAGTGACTCTACAGTTCTTCTTCCTGTAAGACTGTCCGGGTTATAGCTGTTTTCTCTTGACTATGGGTGTCAATTAAAGTGAAAGAATAAAGTGCACTCCTGGCATTTTTCCATCTCGCCACAAACCCAGCGTACCTGAGAGGGTACTGATGGTTGATCTTCTGTTTCATGATGAACTGCTTCTTGACCAAGTGAAGCATACCACCTCAGAGTGAGTCATGGGGAGGGTCATGTATCTCCCTTTGCAGGTATGTGGATGCCTGGAAGACAGCTGCCACTGGGTGAGGAGATAAAACGGCCCATTTAATTCTGGGGACATCTGATAGAGGAGCCAGCTCCATGAAGTCTGGCAGAACTGTACCCAACTGAAACCCGATCACACAGCAGCAGAAGGTAGTGTCGGCATCAAGCTGTCAGAGCATAGACAAATAACAACTGGTTCTGGGTTGTGATTCCAGGCTGATGTGTTAGTTAAAACTTTGTTTACACATTTAAAATGTAAAAACAAAAAGATCTTATGAATGCACTGAATGTATTAAAGAAGCCTATGTCAGACAGACAAATACCCAGAACATGTAGCCCAAAGTTAAACTACAGACTCATATTTCCATCTTTATCATCAAAGGACAAAGTAGGCATTTATGAAAATGCAATACTGTGCAAAAGACTTGAGCCATCCCTCATTTCTTTATATTTTGCTGGGAAAATGGGAAGTAGATTATATGATTTTATTGAAATCTGTGCAGGATAGGGGTGAGCATGAAAGTCAGTGTTTTATAAAACCCCCTTTATTCTTCAACACATTGAAGATGTGAAGATGACCCCACACTGCTTCAACAAAGTTGTTCTGGAGAGGCTAATCCATGACGGACTGTGTTCCACAATGCTTTTCTATTTGTATGGTTTTACTGCACTGGCATTGTGTTTGGGATCATTGTCATGCTAAAAAATGTAGCTGCTGCCAATCAGATGCTTTCCACATAGCATTGCATTGTAGCTCAAAATCTGATGGAACTTTATTTTTCTGATGAGGCTTTGGTGAATGGTAGATGGATCAAGGGTCAGATGCATTGCTCACATGGGAGGTATTTGCTGGATTTTTTTCCTATCCACTCCAGTTTTCTCATTTTTTTGAGGACACACTGCAAACTACTGGGATATGCCAAATGTTCAGCTAACAGCTCTTTGTAAGTCATCTTGTTGGTTGAGAAATAATATTTTATGCCAGTCAAACTGTGTTGTCTTTGCAATTTTTTTCTAGATTCAAGTAAAGAAATTTAAACTAATTATGTGTTTTTGCAATAGTAACAAAGTGCCTAAAGATGCCTAAAGAAATTGTAAAAGAATTCTTTGTGAAGTTGTCTGTTATGTATAGACAAACCTCTGGTTCATCCTTTGAGTTAGGTGCCTTTTGTAATGCTTAATTACTTGTAGGTTGAGTTAAGTAGCTTAACAAACAAAAACAAACAACAACAAAAAAATTCCTCTGAAAATGGTTAGGTACAAGGACTGGACTAAATGAGTGAAAAAGCAACCAGTGTCCAAAGAAGAACTTGGAGAATTATTGCTCAAGACAATTTTAAAATATTACAAGAAAGTAGCTTCCTGGAAGCAAAATGTAAAGAATTCAAGGGGTGATTCAAGAATTTGCTACAGATATTAGTGAACATTTTTTGTCAAGAGTCTGATTGGGTAGTTTATCTGTTAAAGATGGAATCTGTATGCCTATTAGCTTAATTAGCATAAAGACTATGCTAATTCTTTATGCTAGCCTGTCCATGTTCAAAGGTAACAAAAAACATGCTTAAAGCTTACAATTGAACATGTTGCATCTCATTAAATTACTTCACATGAATACGTTTTTGTTCAGGCTAATGGTTTCATCCTTTTTGCGCATGTTTGTGCTAAGCTAAGCTAGGCTAACCAACTGCTTTAGGTTACAGAATGAGAAGCAAAAACATTCAATGACTCAATGGTTTATCTGTATGGACAGAAACGTTGCGAAGGTTTGACAAAAATGGGAAAAGCACATGCAGTTTTTTATTCTTCCATAATACCTGGCTGTTATTGTTACCATGTGTCATCAGGAAAAAAACACAACATCCAATTAAAAGTTAACTACAAATATGACACCTTTATTTAACTTTTTTTGTCCTGAATTGGTTACAGAAACAAGAGAGTTAACTGTTGGTTTTTTTTTTTTTGTCTTTTTCTAACCAGGGGAATCAAGTTCTATACATAGGCATGCTGCGTCACTGCACAGTCATAGCTGTGAAAACCAATATTACCCCTGTCAGCTGCCCCACTGGAGCAGTCTGAAGGCAAGACAAATCAGGAGAGTACAGGCAAGGACATGTCAACCCCAGGGAGTAAGGGTTTTCAAATGGGCTACCCAGGGACGACAAACTTAACATAGAAGTTGTGTGCAAAATCTCACCACAGTCTATTTGATTTTAAACACAGACAATATCAGTCGGACGATTCTCCTTTTTTTGTACTTTTTTTTTTTTACCCTCAACTCTTTAAACTAACAGAGGAAGTTATTATTAGGTCCAGTGATGATGGCATTTTGTTCCTTTTGGGGAATCATACTGCTTTGGACCATTTCCCTTTGTTTCTCAAGAACCAGCTCGCACAGACATTAAGTGTGTCATCTGATATACACTGAAAGTATGATTGTTGCCACATGACCTTTTACATAAATAGTTAGTATTCAAAAGTAGGTCTGAGAAAGGTCATATATGTAGAAATGGTGATAAGCATGCACAGATAGGTAGTTGACGAGTGCAAAGTCTACAAAGTCACATCATGTTATTCTTTTTTTTTTTATGTACTCCACATAGAGTGAAAACATCACAAGAATTGAAACCTCCCTCCCCCTCAGCTCTGAGTGCTGATACTCAGGAGCTTTGTTTCTTTGCTGCTGACCATCTAAAACCCTGAGGACAGTTCTTCTTGCATGGATATGAGGCTTGTAGCCTGTTTCAGACCAGGCCTGCCCAAACAGAGCCTGGTATAACAGGACAAGCTGTCTTTGGGCATGAAGCTGGCCTGCAAGTAGCAGTCCTATTTTAGAATAGCCAGTGTGTAAGACATAAACATACAGCAGTAGTCAAGGATTGACCCCTTGTCTTTTCTTAGTAAGATCAGGGGCCAGCGCACTGACTATTGGTGGGCTTGAGCCCTGCCTGCTTTGCATTTTCTTTTTTTTTTATAGCTATCCCTAATATATCACAGACTAAGTCATGATTTACTGCATGAAGTGGCAAAATTATCAATAGGCATTGTTGTCTTTTTGAAAATTTGAACATAATCACGTTTGCATCCCCGTAACAGCAAAGTGTGGGAGGTACAACCAACATAAATCCTGATAATTGACAACTCACATTTTTTCCTTAATCAAACAAACAAACAAAAAAATTCAAAATGAAATAAAATAAAATAAAAGCACATCTAGTGTTGGCGAAACATTTCCAAAATGCTATAGTTTAAAAAATACAAGCATAATGTAACAAACAGGCAAATGTATAAACACAAAGCAAACCAGTTAAAAAAAGAAGATAAAATCAGTTTGCAGTGGTCAGTCAGTTCTCCAATGAATCACTGATATCTAAACTCAGCCTACAGTTTAAAAAAAAGGGAAAAAAAGGTAAACAAGCAAGCAAAGCTTTACAGCACTACTATGTACACAGCTCCTCGGGTGAAAGAGAGAGCTGGTGCCATGATGAAGGGAAAGGGCGTGAAACAGAGACTCCAGTGAAACAAGAGTCCTTCTTGGCACAGAGACTTGAGCTATAGCTGTCCACAGAAAGAGTCTGGAGGAGGAGAGGAAGGAGGAGGAGGAGGAAGAGACGCTCCACCAGAAAAAAAGAAAACAGAAATGAAGACAACGACATAGAGAAGAGGAACATGGATACAAACGTACAGACGTGGGAGCCATTTTCTCATACAGATTGGAGGCTGAGTGAAGGAAGTCTCAGAGATTTCACTGTCACACAGACTTCCCTTTGGGGCCGTCTCGTGCTATCTCATTCCTACTCACCGCCACCCTCCTCCTCCTCCTTTTCCATTTGATCCCCCTCTTTCTA